TTCATATTATTTTCAAAGTGAAAGGGGCATAACTCTGCCAAAAATCATTGAACTATGACCAAATTCGAACTTGACCTGTATTTTATCATGACACATCCATATGTCAAATTTGAGCTGAATGTGTTGTACATTTGGGGAGATAATGAACGGAAACTGAAAATTTCATATTATTTTTAAAGTAAAAAGAGCATTACTCTGCCAAAAATCATCAAACTATAACCAAATCCGAACTTGACCTGTACTTTATCATGACATATCCATATGTCAAGTTTGAGTTGAATGTGTTGTACCGTTGGGGAGATAATGGACGGAAACTGAAAATTTCATATTATTTTAAAGTTAAAAGGGGAATAACTCTGCCAAAAATCATCGAACAATGACCAAATTCGAATTTGACCTGTACTTTATCATGACATATCCATATTTTAAATTTAAGTTGAATGTGTGCAACCGTTACTAAGATAATGAACGGAAACTGATGATGACGGAATGACATAATGACGGAAGGACGGAACAGGGTAACACTATATGCCCCGGCCATTACATGGCGAGGGCATAAAAAGGTAAATTTTTATGGTATTAATATGACACTATCAACATTGAAACATTTCATTTAATTTGTTATTCGTGTTTAGTAAAGATGCCGAGGAATTATTCAAAGTTACAAATAAGATTTTATGAATTATTCAATTGATTGATAATTTAAAAAATAATAAAGAAAAATACAAATGTACATGTATATGGTTTAAGAATAAACAATATTATATATTGAAAGATTAACCATAATTTTTTGACTTTATCCAGTTAAGTTCTGACTTACAATCGTCGGTCAATATGACAACTGCATAAATTCTTAAAATAGTAGTAAACGTAAAAAAACTTAGTATTAAAATAGCACATAAAACACAAAAAAGAAAAGAAAACAATATTCATAAAATCTGTATTACAATTATTGTATAATAAACAATTATGCTCAACATGATCAACATGGTAATATAACCAGTGTCATATTGTTAGTAAGTGTGAACAGATACCTTCAGAGTGGGTCTTTGCTAATAGCGATAACATAATATAGGACAATTACACAAGTGTGGTGTTGATCATGCGTTACACATATGGATTATAAATGATTGTATACATGTATATCCGTTGCTAGGGGGCCTCCGTGACCGAGTGGTTAAGGTCGCTGACTTGAGATCACAGGTCCCTCACCGCTGTAACTCGATCCTCACTCGGGTCGAAATCTTTCATGTGAGGAAGCCATCCAGCTGGCTTACGGAAGGTCGGTGGTTCTACCCAGGTGCCCGCTCGTGCCTGAAATAATGCCCGAAGGGGCACCTGGGGTCTTCCTCCATCAATAAAGCTGGAAAAAAATCGACGAAAAATTCTCGGCGGGACGCTCTAGGATGGCCCGACTTGAGTGTACGGTCGCCCATATGGGCTTTCCGGCGGCGACCTTAAATAAACGCATTAAAAAAAATCCGTTTCTACTTCTCCAAATCCCTCCAGAGGCGTGCAAGTCGCGGAGAAGGCACGCGGCATGTCAAGGTCAAATCATCTCAAGTACCAGGGGTAATTGGTTGACCTGTCGTGACTGACTCTGGAGGGTGGCGCTAACAAGAGCCGTTTAATGTTCACCGCCTGTTTGCAGCCGTCACGGAACTTGATGCTTTTCCGGTATTGTCTCTCCTCCATCGAACGAAGTACAGGACTTAGGAAGATCGGCATGAACAAGACGTCCCCGATGAGACTTCTAGAGTGGACCGGCATGGAAGCTGAGATCTCGGACATATGGAATTTCCGGTGCCGAGCTGAAATAAACCTACTACAACAAAAAAATCCGTTGAGCACTATTATCATAAAGAAATAACAAGTTATGATCTAATCGCTAGCATGCCAATCAAAGTTTATAATGAACAATGTCTTTCGTCCGTTCATTCATAAGTGATATACAATTCTGGTAAAATCCAATTAACCATTAAAAAGTTTATAAGAATATCTTGTCATCATATATCTACTTGTTCATCTTCACCTGCTGCATTTCTTCCTTGGACGCCCTTTGATGCTTTGCATCAATGCTTTTCTTGTAAGCTTTATGTTTTGAAAAGCAACTTTATACATGTTACATAAATGTAAGTTTTAATAAGTTTTATATTTTCAAAATTTGACGTAGAAACTATAAGTTTTTTTTTGTAATTAAACACTGACCTATGAGTAATAAATCAAAGTGACAGCAAGTTTATAATTTTATAGTTTATTTTAACGCTAAATAAATGGTCTATCGGCGGTCCAAGAAGAGTGAGGTATTTATTTGTTTGAGATTCAATTACACGATGCATATGTTTTAGTTCTCGTTAGCAGTTTAGGCATATTTATTTTGTTGTTTTTCCAGCCGAATAGGTTTAACCATGGTCTCCCAAATAGACTATCTATTTGAAATACCCTGGTTTAATACAACAGCAATGCAAATGTAAACAAAATACGTTTGTATGCTGTGCCCTTATTACGTTAATAGGTTTAACCATGGTCTCCCAAATAGACTATCTATTTGAAATACCCTGGTTTAATACAACAGCAATGCAAATGTAAACAAAATACGTCTGTATGCTGTGCCCTTATTATATTATAGCTTTAACTGAACTTGGAATCTGGGAAACCGGTGTTGTTACATTTAATGAAAATAAATGTGAAACAAAAAATCGCACATATTGCTTGTTGCGTTATTTTGATTATGGTTTAAATGAATCATTTTTGAATGCCTCAGAATTATTGGTCTTTTGTTAGTGATCCAGGTCAATTTAAAAGGCCCAGATTAATATATATATATTCTTTATTGATAAAATAATCAACTATACTACATGTATCTTTTTTTTTTAACTATTTGTTCGTTATGAATGCGTTGATAAGTAGATCTCAGCAAAATAAAATTATTTCAGTCCTTAATTATATTCCTTTATTATTGTTGTTAATATTATATCATCATCATTAAACTTTATTATTATCGAATATTGACCATTTTCGTCTCAATAGATTCGTTGTTGTACATAAAAATTCCTTTCCGCTTATATGACTTATGAAATAAAACGAGTGACCTGATTGGATAGTTATTTTGATAACGGCCAATTAAAATGAATGTAAATAACTATCTCGGAACGTAATTTTGCCGACAGAAAAGTTTTATTAAATTGAAATTTTAGGTTAGCTAGAACGAAGACACACATTTTAAACATAATCGGTATGTAAGGTCATTTATTTCATCTTAATCTATTCGTTGATTTTACCACTGTTTATTTATTTGTAATGTAAATTGTATTTGTCATATATATTCGCGATGTTTACCCGAGTCGGACAAAAATCATTTGACTTCTTGTGGTTACAAACTGTTATTTTACTTCATTACTGAGTATCCAGTCACAGAAAATATACCCCATATATCGTTGACAAACATGTCAGGCCACTTGAACTTTAAATAGAAACAAATCTTATAGTTTCGGGCCCCAGTTCCACTTCCAGTAGTCCTATAACATAAGACGTTTCCACTTTCCGTTAGTACTACGTACTAGACACTGAGCTTAACTTGAAACTTATTTTAGACATAAAAAATTCAAAGTGTAGCATACAATGACAATTTGTGGTGTATTTTTTATAAAAAAAAACATTGTATACAGTGGTATTTTTTTTTCCTGGCGGTACTCAAAAAAATTGAGAAAAACAGAATTCCTAAAGAAAGTCTAACTCAACACAATTGAAAATGTTGCAGGCTCGGTTTGATTGAGCTTGTTCATGGACGGTACTGGAAAGTGCAAGTTACCGTCCATGCCCCCTAGCACCAGCTTAAGTAGAATTTAACATTTAACACGAAATGGTGAAATTTTGAATTTAGAAACATCCGCAGATGTGTTCATACGGCGGTTATCATGGAACCTTCAACGTGGCACAGTAGTGCCATTCCATAAATAAGCAGCGTATGGTCCCACTCTACACTAAATATAAGCATTGAATAAACTAACCAGTTATGTCTGTCTAAGCATGTCTCTTAATTTCTCATTATACCTGTCAATCAGTGAACCAATGAAAAGGCATGATAGCAAAGTTATATGACATAACAATTATTTTGGCATGTGTAAACCCACCTTTAATGAATTTTTGGCAGCAACGTCTTCATTTGATGTTGTTTTAGGCACATGGAATTGGAAGAGATTAGTATGTATTGAGCAGCGGGGCTTTTTTTCCTTCTATAACAGGGGCCCATATACTATGCCCCTTCACAATTCAAAATTGCACTTTTTTTCACAAAGCGGCAGAAAAAAAATCACAATTTCAAGAGAGATTTCACAAAATGTTGGGACTTTGTATTCGAAATACATTGTTCACCTTCTGGTAAAACTTGATGTACACCAATTGCAATATTATAACACAGAAATAGTTTTAATCAAGTTAAATGGTTGTGGTGCATTAACCAGGTTAATGTACCAACTTGAAACATGTTTTACACAGGTCAGAAATTATTATCAACTGTTTCCGGTTGAAAAATGTTGCGAAATGCCAAGTTATATGTCATAATTGTTTTTCTTCACAAATTTATGATATATTGCGCTTTTTTTCACAAAATGAACAGGCCCAGGCCCGTTCACAATTTTGACAAAAAATGCCCTGGCAGCTTTTAAAAATTTTCTTTTAACCCTAAGAAACAAAGATTAGAAATGTAGTATATATAAGCTAGCTGCTGCAGGGCTTTTTTTCACAAGTTGGGGAAGCAGCCCAGCCCTTAATTTTGGGGAAAAATTACATGGTATATTTGCAAAAGGGGAAGAAAAAACTTGATGTAAATTCAATATTTGGGGAAAACTGCATGATTTTAAAGAAATTTTCTTTGGGGAAGCAGCCCTATACCGGCCCCTGTAATAGAGGGTAAAAAGGCCCTGTGCTGTTACGGTTTGGTTCTGGTGAAGGTTGTGCACAGGGCATATCAGAGAAAAATATAGCATTTTTATTGGGAAAATACCTATTATAGTTTAGGTAAGGCCATCCTTAAAAAAATGTTCGTTTGCAGTAACGCGACCGACTCACAAAATTTGCCCCTACTCAATTTTTTTTTTCATGGTCTGGATAAAAAAAAAATTTTTTTGAATCAGAAAATTATGCCTTGTGCTTTGTTTTCGTTCTTTTAAAGGTTAATGGAAGAAATAAAATGTAGGTCTTATTAAATTAGAATTCAGTTATCAATTTATTAATTGTTACCAGATTATCAAAGCATATATTGTCCAGCATTTTGAAATTCCATGTTTATTTGGGAGTACAGTTCAATAAAAAAAAAAAAATCGACCTACCTACCAACCTTGAAAATTCTGGGTCGGGTTACTGCAAACAAACATTTTTTTAAGGATGGCCTAAGTGGAAAAACCCTTAATTTAGCTGTACAATATAGGAAAAGTATTAAATGTAATACACTAAAGATCCTGAATGTTGTAATTATGGTTGTTATCATTTGTGTGTATTTGTGTTTATTAATACTTGCCACCTGTTGCCCATATGGGCGAGTCCTCTAGAAGAGTATTTGTCATTTCATATTTTTGGACGATAGTGCAAGATACTGGAAGGTTCTTTAATTCTGGTTCTTTAACGTGCCAAGTGTTTAAGCACTCATACCATGGTACCTCAAATTCATCCTAAAGACTGATAAGTAATTTAAGTTGGCCATTTGCAGGGCTCAAGCTAGGTTCAAAATTTAGGGAGAAGTCACTTCTCCCTCCAGCTGCTTTAGGGAGAAGTGGGGAGACTTTAGGGAGAAGTGAGGAGATTCATTTATCGATGTTTGTTGTATGTTATCGCAATTATGTTGACTCACTGTACATATCTTATTAAATGAATGGGATTTGTGTTACAACAGAATATTCAATTTTAATTTAAAAGTAGTTTGAAACCGGTAATAAGAATGAGTATCATGTAATGCAACCATTGCATTAAATGAAGATAAAAAAGCCATAGTTGATTCCTATCATGGATCATATCATGGGTGGATTAACAGTTATTCCCTTCTGATTTACTATTAAAAAGCTTGCGCCGGACATTATATTCATATTCACTTATGTTGTAAAGAAAATGAAAGTAGATAACGAAAGAAACGATCTTTAATTTAACTTCATTTGTAATAAATACAGTGTAATACGCCGTCAATTTTATCAAATTTAACTCGTCGACAAAAAAGGTTATCATAACTTTCATTTAAAATTACCGTTACAGTTATATGTCGAGCGGTCCTCTTAATTCTGACAATCATTCGATAGTGAAAATTTAATTGACGTTTGATCCGTCCATCATAAATAATTGTTACGGGTAGTTGTATGTTAGCGATTTAATGATTGGTTTAATAATGTCGCCTCGATTAAAACGTGAATTACGATTGGTTTCTCGCACGTATCGGTAATCTCGCCGTGGGCGGAGTCTAATTGTTCCTCAAGCGTCTGTTAATTAGACTTTTATGACATGTTGGTAAACAAACGGATTAATGACATTTCGCGTTGATTGAGATGCATGACAGTCCCTTTTTCCGGCGGCGAGGGTAAACAAAGCAAACACACACAACATGTTATTCACAGTTATTGTTGGTAATTTTCAATAATGGATCAATAAAATCTGGCGACTTCATCTTCGCTTTCATGTAGGATGTCGGCGAAGTCAGACGGAATTCGGCGACTATTTCGCCCGAATCGCCCACTAGCTCGAGCCCTGCATTTGGGAATCAAACCCGCAATGTCAGGAATCAAACCCGCAATGTCAGGAATCAAACCCACAATGTCAGGAATCAAACCCACAATGTCAGGAATCAAACCCGCAATGTCAGGAATCAAACCCGCAATGTCAGGAATCAAACCCGCAATGTCAGGAATCAAACCCACAATGTCAGGAATCAAACCCACAATGTCAGGAATCAAACCCACAATGTCAGGAATCAAACCCGCAATGTCAGGAATCAAACCCGCAATGTCAGGAATGAAACCCGCAATGTCAGGAATCAAACCCGCAATGTCAGGAATCAAACCCGCAATGTCAGGAATCAAACCAGCAATGTCAGGAATCAAACCCACAATGTCAGGAATCAAACCCACAATGTCAGGAATCAAACCCACAATGTCAGGAATCAAACCCACAATGTCAGAAATGAAACCCACAATGTCAGGAATGAAACCCGCAATGTCAGGAATGAAACCCGCAATGTCAGGAATCAAACCCACAATGTCAGGAATCAAACCCGCAATGTCAGGAATCAAACCCACAATGTCAGGAATCAAACCCACAATGTCAGGAATCAAACCCACATTGTCGAGATTACAATTAGGGTTCAAACACATTGAGCAAGCCAATGTTGGCTGGCTTGGTTATTACCACACTAAAGTGAAATTGTGTATATAATTATGCTTCTTAAACAATTCTCAAACATCAAAGGATATGTAAAATATGTACTGCAAAAATTTGGCCATATTATATGTAATCATTAAAACATATGCATTCATTTCTTATTGAAAAATTTGACTTAGAGCTAAGACATTATAAGAAATGAATTTCTAATTACCTCCCTTTATTAACATGAAATGTAAATTCAGTAATATCTTTACAAATAATGCTTTTTGGAACTTATAATATTGATAAATCTTCATTTGAGCATTATATTTATGATATAAAACCATGAAAAATTGAGTAAAAGGATCTTTAATTTATAACGTTAGCCATGCAGAAAATTAATGTAGCCCTTTATTAAGTTTATTGGAACTTTTGAAAACTAAACAGCACGAAACTTGGAATATTTGCTAATCATGAGAAGGTAAGGGGCATAATTCTGAAAGCAATATCTTGGAGTTATGTCCTTATATATATACTTAGAAGCATGAAACTTGTTTATAAAGGGAGGTAATAAAATTTGTTACTTACGTTAATTATTATGACCTGGTTCAAGATAAAAAAAATATAAATAAAAGAGGCAACACTTTTTAAATGGTACTTTTGTCATGGGTCAATAAAATTGCATTTCTTTTCTTAAATAATGGCGAACTTTTTAGCATGAATGATTAGATATATATAAAAATTGTGGTATTATACATCATCCGAGGTTTTCATAGAATTTTCACAGAATTTTAAATTCTACTAATTTTGGCGGCTAAAAAAGCCATATTACAATTAATGTCATTGCACTAATTGGCAAAGTCCTTGGGGGGGGGGGGGTTGCACATTTTGACAGCAAGCTTATTTCACAGAATGGCCTGTTAAACTAAAGCATCATGTCTCCAGAGTCATGCTAATTTTCATGAAAATTTTGAAAATGTGCTAAAAAGTAAAATATTGTAAAATCAATAAAGAAAAGAAAATTCAAAGTGCAAAAAGCAATTACAAATTTCCATGTAATTTACCCCAAAAAAGGTCAAAATAGGCAAAAAAAGCCCTTACTGCGTTAGTAACGTATAAATATGATAAAAAATTCTGCTAAATTGGTAATAAATTGCACATAACATGGAAATTATTACTTTTATTTTGAACCTTTTTACTTTTCTTAAAATGTCATTACCTTATTCTCAAGTTTGATTTTCTTGAAATATTTTGGTTCATCTGGAGGCATGAAGCTTTAAACTATCTAATTTTTAGTACTCAATGACATCTGTTGTTTACATATGGTATCAGATGTTATATAAAAGGGAGGTAATCAGATATGTTATATAAAAGGGAGGTAATAAGATAAGAAATTTATGTAAATAAGCATGACATTTTACATTAAAAATAACATTTGGTAACATTTTCAGAATGTTATAAATAGCTTTGTTATAATTTAAACATTTTAAAAAAATGTTTGAGATCATTTAAAGATGAATGTGTTGTTATGTTATCAAAGGTATATATGTTAGATAATGTTCAATTCCACCACTTTTAAACCTATTTAGTAAATATTACAATAATTTTGCCAGCCTTATAGGCTTAATTAAGTTTCTTCGTATTTCTTGACTGCATTGGTCAGGGCTGACAAAATGTAATTTTGACCTACTTCCCTGATTTTATCTAAAGCATTCCTGAAACTTGTCCGTATGATATTTATAATGCAAATTCTTCAAAATTTCTACTCGGGGCCCAAGAATGCTAGTTACATACATGCCTGCATGTCCATTGATAGTCGAATTTGGGTCAGGCCCATAAAATGATGCAAATAACATGCCCCACTGACCTTTTTAAAAATTACCCACCAAAAACCTCTCTGAAGATGAAATGATTTATAGCTTTCAGATGGGACAACTAATTAATCATGGATTCAGGAAATAGAATTACCAGACAACTGTATGAGACATTATTATTGAATTTACATTCCACTTTCAAAGTTTAACATAAAAAACTTTATAGGGTTAGTAGATATTTCCATCCATAAGGCCGGAATGGCTTGTGGCTTTATGGTCCTAAATCTCCTGGCAGACTTGTCATGCCTTTATAGGGTTTATTTTGCAGTATATGCACTAATATTTAACCTGTGTGCAATTTTAATACTATCTAAGAACTGAATTTTGACTCAACATGTTTTACAAACGGTTACAAGATTATATTACCCAAGCCAAGAAGGCCCCTGCTGATAACTGATAATTATTATATGTTTCATTTAATTTGTAGGGTCGTCCATAGCCAAGTGGAAAAGGTCGTTGACTTCAATGCACTTGCTACTCACCGTTGTAGGTTCAAATCCCACCAGGTACTTTTGACCCTTTTATGTAAGGAAGCTATCCAAAAGGGCCGGCAAAATCAATTGTCCATATTGCCCAGGTTGTCCCACAGTCTGTGCAGACAAGAGAAATTTTCAAGAATAAACTATGGTCCTGTCCAACCTACTCAGGTGCTTGCTTGTGCCGTAAACAATGCATGAAAGGTTACCTGAGATCTTCCTCCACCAGTAGAGCTGAAAATTTTGCTATATGACTTTTACTGTGTTGTAAACTTTGATCATATAATAATTATGATAGTAACTGGTGTTTGTTTTTATGTTTTATAGATACATGCAGCGATGTCCCTGTCAGGTAGGGAATGGGATGATTTGAAGTCTTTACTAGACAAGGCGGTGAATAAATTTCTAGGATTCAGTGAACCCTCACTAGTGACTGCCGCCCTCAACTGTATAGACAAAGGTTATGATGAAAGGAAGACTTCAGGTATGGAACCAGACCAGCTTCACCTTTAACTAACCCGGCTTAACCTTTTATCAAACCGGCTTAACCTTTAACTGAACTGGCTGAACCTTTAGCGGAAATGAGTTACCTTTACCTTAACTGGCTTTAATTTTAACTGAACCATGTTAACCCTTACCTTAACTGAATGAACCAAGTTGACCTTTACTAGAGCGACTTTAACTGAATCTGAACCAGCTTAACCTTTAACTGGACCAACTTAAACATTAACCAAACCAAGTTAACCTTTAACTGGTCTGGCTTAAAAACTTTAACCAAACTATGTCAACCTTTAACTGAAGTGACTAAAACTGTTAAACCCGAAAGCACTCTTTACTTATGTTATGAAATAATGCTTTAGTCAGTTTTCAGGTTTTTTTTGGCATTTTGAACTTGTATTCTTGAGATTGATAGACGAAATGACTGTAAAATTTTCAGATAAATTACAGACAATCTTGGACGAGAAGCAAGCCCCACTATTTGCGGAGAAGTTGTTTGACGTCTGGGATCAATACAGGGCAACCAGTAAATCGCACAGGAGTAAACGTAGAAAGGTATGTTGAAACCCTTTAACATTCTGAACTATTTGAGCCGTGTCACGACAAAACCAACATAGTGGGTTTGCGACCGGCATTGATCCATGCTGTTCGCTATTAGTTTCTCTACTTGTAAAAGGGTTGGTAAGAGAAACACTGTGGATCCTGATCAGACTGCGTGGATGCGCAGGCTGGTCTGGATCCATGCTGATCCCAAACCCATTATGTTGGTTTTGTCGTGGCGCAGCTCATTTATAGGTATCCATAAACCTTAAATAAATTGTGCTTTGCAAACGGAATTTACAATCCATGTTAATTTATACCAAAAAAGAGGCCAGAATATGCAAAAATAGCCATTACTGTGTTAGTCATGCTGTAGAAATATGGTAACAAATACTGCAAAATAGGTCATTTATTGCATATAACATGTAAATCATATCTTGAAATGAGAATATTTTTACTTTTCTTAGTATAATTTTTCCCAAATTTGATTTTCTTGATTCTTTTTTTTTTTTTTGGCTTATCTAGAGGCATGCAGCTTTAATATAGGGTTAATATTTTATATCATATCATCATTATATACCTTGTCAGTGGCTCATCTTTTTTTTCGAACAGTTTGCGTTATACAAATTTTAATACATTGTCACCCTGAGAGGGCAATCACAGTGACGTTATTTGATACAAATGTAATATATCAATATCGGGACTTGTATACATGCTCATTATTGTCCTTGACCTTTATGTCTATTTATAGATAAAAAATTAGAAATTATTACAATGCATTTTATTCCGCTAATTTTGTGAAAAAACGAAGATTTCCGCAAAATCAATATTTATTTTAAAGATTAACAGTGTTTATTCTAGGATTCGAAAAACAGGGGGGATTTTTATCGAAAAGTGAGAATTTATTACATTTGTTGATCTTTTTCCTTCTTTGTGTATGTAAAATTTCCCCCCTCCCTCTCAAAAAATAGGGGTGAATTCTCAAAAATATGGGTGAATCCCCCCATCGCCCCTCCTAGAATAGACACTGGATTAATACATTTTTATCTTTGTTCAGTTTCAGGATGATAGGGACGATGCCGATGATGGGAGAAAGAAAGCAAAGTTTGAGGAAATTCCGGTGACGCCTGAGGGTCCAAGCCCGGGACAACTTACAGAAGAGAAGGTAAAACCATGATTGAAACTTTTTTTAAGGCCTCCACAGCCATGTGGCTAAAGTGACAGATGCCTGGCCATTCATCACACTGAAAGAATTTGGCCTACTTTTTTGAATGCGTTTTAAAGATATATTACCAAATATCAATTACTACTCTGGTACATGCAGGAACATTCTTTAAAGCTGCTTTTACATTTTCTTAAGCTTAGGCCATCCTTAAAAAAATGTTTGTTTGCAGTAACCCGACCCAGAATTTTCAAGGTGGGTAGGTAGGTCGATTTTTTTATTTTATTTTTTTTGATTTTTTTTTTTTTTTTTTGAACTGTACTCCCAAATAAACATGGAATTTCAAAATGCTGGACAATATATGCTTTGATAATCTGGTAACAATTAATAAATTGATAACTGAATTCTAATTTAATAAGAACTTCCTTTTATTTCTTCTATTTACCTTTAAAAGAATGAAAACAAAGCACAAGGCAAAATTTTCTGACTAAAAAAAAAAAAATTATTCAGACCATGAAAAAAAAATTTGAGTAGGCCTAGGGGCAAATTTTGTGAGTCGGTCTCGTTACTGCAAACAAACATTTTTTTAAGGATGGCCTTATGGAGGTCAATTTATCTACTCCGGTGAATTCCTGGACATTCTCTTAGTTAAGCTAGCTTATGAAGAATTTTGTTTGAATTTTCAAAAGTATCCTTCCAAAATGCTTGTATGAAATAGGTATGGTAATTTATTGCCTGAAAGCAATTGGTGCATGCTAAAAGTCATTGCTAAAGCAGCTAAACAGATAAAACCCTACTTATATACGCAGAATAATATTTTGTTCAAGAACATTTTTTTTTTTTTTTACATACATTATTCATGTGTATTAAAAAAACAGTGGCATTCTATGTTACAATTTTTTGGGGAATCATGCATATGAAAATGTCACCAATATAATTTTACTGTTGATCAACTTTATTAAAATATTTCATAAGATATAGATTTATACCCTTTAAAGGGACTCCACTGAGGTTTTTTGAAGTGAAAAGACCGAAAATATTTTTTCAAGACTTTAGTATAACTAGATGTATGTCTAGACCAATAACTCATGTACAAAAATTCAGATCATTCGCTCACTCCGTTTTCCAGAAATGATCAATTTTATTGCGCAAATAAATGAAAACCCTTAAAACACTTTTCATTCAAATCGGCCAAAAATCGCATAAAAAGTGATTATCAATTTAATACCCTCTATATTTTTATATCATCTATTGCTTGGATTCAAATTTAAATGTACCAGTTGATTTAAAGTGACATTATGCTCATATTTTCATAGTCAATTTGAGCTGGACTGATTACTGTATATATTTCAAAAGATTGACTGTTAAAGTGGTGATTAACCAACAGTTCATATTGGAAAAATGTTTCGGATAAAATTTAAATCTGCCTAAAATATAAAAAGACTGTCCCACTCTTTTTATGAAATGAACGTTACAGTCTATTGGATATTTACGAAAATTTCACTTGAATCCTTGCGTTGTTTATTGTTTATGTGAAATAAATATGTATATCAAAAGGAATTATGGCAAAATGAAAACCTATTTTGACATTCATTTGTTCAGTCATTTATATCCTTTGATGGGCATAATGTCACTTTAAGAAAGAAATTCAAAATTTATTATTTTAGGCTATTGGACCTCAGAGGAGTTCCTTTAACTTCTGTAATTATGATAATGATTTATTTTTCACCATGTTAGATTAAAGAGATGATGCAGGCAGCACAGAAAGTAATTCAGGAGAGAAAAGCACAAATGTCAGCACAGTTGCCTTCCGGTCCACCGCCACCCTCGACAAATTCTCAGGTATTTACAGTTTGTATCTAAATTTTAAATTTTGAAGGGCTACTTACCTAGGCTTCATTTAGGACATTGGCAGCTTAGCTCCAGTGAAAGACGGAATAAAGGTGTGATTTTATTTACAGATGCGTGAAAAATAAAGTAAGAGGTTTCACCAGATAAACCACAAATTTTCTGTTGGTGCCCTGTAATTCTCTACGACATGCATATACTGAGGGGATGCATGATTCAGAGTAATACTAACTTTAAACAAATACCAACATATACTAAAGAAAGTTACCTCCATCTATTCTGATTCTATTGGACTTATAAACATCTTCAAAACCCATATAATTGACAACTGCGCAGTTATCCAAAAGAATATGACTTGATTTAAAAGATATTTTGACTTTTTTTGTGTACCATCATGCAGGATGGGGGTATCTGTAAAACACGACTATCTAAGGTTCTCCAGCCCCCATCCCCCCCCCCCCCCCATAACAACCTGCACTACATAGTGAATTCAAATAAAATATGAATCTTATGTTATTTCAAAATTAAAGGTATGTTATTTATTGCTAAACTCAGAATTTGCTACAGCTAAAATAAAAGAACTAAAACTATAAAGGGAGGTAATAATATCACTGAAAATCTAAATTAGAGAAAGTACATGGACAGTTAGGAGACTTATTTGTGATGATTAACAATTAAATAACAAGTTATTTTCAATATTAAAATGCTAAAAATTTGATATGTACATCATTGAAAACTGTGAATGTTATTCTAATTTGTTTGTTTAAAGCCAACTGTGCTGATGAGAAGTGAAATTTCATTTGATTTAACAAGAATTTTGGTGCCATGTTTGTTAAACATGGCTAGGGAATTATAATGGGCTTGTCTCTTTATGGAACTGTCCATTTTCATTTTATAGGGATGGATATTCAAAGCCTCATTACCGCTCAAACTGGCAACGGGGGCCCTCACAAACTGGCATTGGCCCTCGGGATTGATATTCCTGTACAAACCACAACATAGTACAGATATTATTAATCTGTTTCACATGGTACTGTGCATGTAACACAGGCAAAAGTTAAAGATTGATCTCTGGTTCGTTTTGGAGCACTCTGGGTCAAGCTTTTTGACATTCTGAATCTTATCATCTTTATATTATTAATTTTGGGAGACATATATTGTTTTGTCTTTTCGCCGTCCGTCCGGTTGTCCATCCGTCCGCATTAAGCTTGTCCGCCCTTCACAGGTCAAACTACTGGTGGGATTTCAACCAAACTTTACAGGAGTGATAAGTACCATCCTTAGTTGTGCACATCACTGGCACGTTTGGCTTCGCTGCACAAAATGGCTACCAGAGCTAAAAATGAAAAATTCTTGTCAGGCCTTCAAAGGTCAGATTAACTACGGTCTGATTCTCTTGCAGTAAGTGATCAAGTCAAGTTTGGTTGTTTACACGAAAAGGCTTATTCCACAGACTATGCTATTATGTGGTGTCAATGGTAACACTTGGATGTGGATATTTAATCCTGTTCATAATAATAAATAATGTTTTTCATTAATAACATATTTTAAATTATGATATCAAAGAACCCCCCTGTCTGGAAAAATGGAAATTTTGGAGCTTTTAATAGAAACTATACAGTACCCTGTTACATTAAAGGGAGGTAATATAATTTACAAAATTTAAATTTTGCAGGGCCAAGTAAAGTTCAATGATTAAATTTTAATGAATTTCTCTTCAATATTATTATGTGTACCGTTAATAAAGAGTTCAAATCATATATTTGACTAAATTATAAACTTTGTGATTATTGATGAGTGTGTTTTTATATAGATTAAATTAAATGTTTGTGGTGGTGTATAATTATGTGTGTAATAAAATTATAATTTTGAAGCCACATTTGGCTAATTAATACCATGATTGAGTTTTTTATGCAGGTGTAATTGCAGTCTTCACGAAAAACTTTAAAAAGCACAGGACATTCGGGCCAGTAAAATATCAAATCTTACTGGACCTGGTGAGTTTTAGCCAGACCAAATACATAGATAGGTAATAAATTAATGGGTACAGGAAAACACTTTATCATGCTTCCCTTGATAATTTTGAAAGAAGCATAATACGTCTTGTATTCTGGGCCATATGTTGACAGCTTTGAAAAATCTTTAAGGACCAAATGTTTAGGCAAAATTGACTAGAATTGAACATGAACAACGCAATTTGCTTCAAACAAATCACTTTCACACAAAATATTTACTTAACTCAATAATCACAAAATCATAGCTAAATAATGACCATAATAAACAATGGTTTAATTTCTGTAACTGTACGGTGCGGTACGGAAAATATCCAAGAAAAAAATTGCGGCCATACAATTTAGACATCTCTCGCTGTGTTTTGAACATTTAGGACAGAATTGATGGGTTTCATTTGCAAAAAAGGCAAAAAGATCAATCTTTAAGAGAACCCTTTTTCATTATTTTGATGAATTTTTCTTATAATACTTTTTCAAGACAAAAAATCTACTGGTCCTTTGGACCACAAACCTTGCAATAATCACCGGACCGATGCTAAATTTAGTGGCCTCGGACTGGCGTTAATTTCGAAGACTGGTAATTGGCACATTATACCAAGGTGGTTAAGGTCGTTGACTTGAGATCACAGGTCCCTCACCACTGCAGGTTCGATCCTCAATCGGGGTCGAAATCTTTCATGTGAGGAAGACATCCAGCTGGCATAATTATGGAAGGTCGGTGGTGGTGCCCGCTTGTGCCTGAAATAATGCCTGAGGGGGCACTTGGGGTACTCCTTCACCAATAAAGCTGGAAAAAATTGACGAAAAAATCTCGGCGGGACGCTCTAGGATGGCCCGACTTGAGTGTATGGTATATGGGGTGACCTTAAGTAAACGCATTAAAAAAACCCAAAAAAACATTATACTAAGGACAGGTGATAGACCTTTCCAGTGTTAACAGTTTTATAAAAATTGGTAGCCTACACTGAGATAATACTGTTGAAGTTTATTTATTTGAGAACTATTGTAAACATAGCATGGATCAGTGCTTCTTCAGGATAGGTAAATCATTTGTGTATAGGTAGTAGTGGTTGCGTGCTAGTCTATCAACTATACAAGTGTGGGTTCAAATCCCAGCATTCCCATTTCTTTAAATATATTTTGTTCAATGCAAAAAAGATTTAGCCTCGTTTCCATTTCTATAGTATAAAAATCCATATTAAATGCATATCACACCCCATAGAGCCTCATTTTCATTTTCAGAGTTCATAATGTCCGTATCAAATGCATATTGTACCCAATAATTAGCCTCATATCAATTTTCAGGGTCAAATAGAATTACACCAATGAAGTAACAAAGTCCTGTCAAAATGTTAAAAAATGTGAAATTAAGAGGTCATTATACTTGTTAAGAACTATGCTGATTCTATTGGACATATATGCATGTACGAAACCTTTATAATTGGCAACTGCATATTCATACAAAAGAATTCAGTATCAAACTCATTGCCATAATATGACTTTTTTGTGTACCATCATTATTCATAATGTGGCAAGGGTGTATTTTTAAAAAATTCAGCTGTTGAAGGTAAAATTTCTACAATTCTGCCCCCCCCCCTTCTCCCCACCTGCACTACATAGTGAATTTAAATAAAATATGAATATTAAAATCCTAAATATTTTATACCTACATCATTGAAAACTGCAAATGTTGTTCTAATTACTTTGTTTAAAGCCATAACTGTGCAAAGATGAAGTGTAGAGGGGCCTCCGTGGCCGAGTGGTTAAGGTCGCTGACTTGAGATCACAGGTCCCTCACCGCTGTAGGTTCGATCCTCACTTGGGTTGAAATCTTTCATGTGCGGAAGCCATCCAGCTGGCTTACGGAAGGTCGGTGGTTCTACCCAGGTGCCCGCTCGTGCCTGAAATAATGCCTGGAGGGGCACCAGACCTGGGGTCTTCCTCCACCAATAAAGCTGGAAAAAATCGCGGCGGGACGCTCTAGGATGGCCCGTCTTGAGTGTACAGTCGCCCATATGGACTTTCCGGCGGCGACCTTTAATAAATGTATGAAAAACAAAGAAAAGATGAAGTGAAATTTCATTTGAGTTAACAAGAACTTTGGTGCCATGTACTTTAAGGGGAATATCATGAGAATTAAAAATGGGCTTGTCTCTTTATGGAACTGTCCATTTCCATTTTATAGGACATATATTCTTATCTGAGCCTCATTTCCTCACAAATTTGGAGCCTCATGACCTCACAAATTTCCCCTTGGGAGGGAAGTTCCTGTCCGAACCACAACATATTTACAGATATTATTAATCTGTTTCTTTTAGTGCCATGCATGTTACACAGGCAAAAGAAAAGGAAAGTCTCTGGTGCGTTTTGGAGCACTCTAGGGCAAGCTTTTTGACATTCTGAATCTTATCATCTTTAAAATTATCATGCCCCAAAATTTTTGTGAGACGTAGTCTGTCCGGTTGTTCGTCCATCCGCATTAGGCTTGTCCTGCCTTCACAGGTCAAACTACTGGTGGGATCTCAACCAAACTTTACAGAGTGATTCTAATAAGAACCCCCCCATGTCTGGAAAAATGCAAAAAATGCAAAATTTTGAGACAATACAGTAATTTTTCATGTACCCTATTACATTAAAGGGAGGTAATAGAATTTACAAAAAGTAAATTTTGCGGGGCCAAGTAAAGTTCAATGATTAAATTTAAATGAATTTCACTTCAATATTAATATGTATATCATTAATTAAGAGTTCAAATCATATATTTGACTAATTTATAAACTTTGTGATTATTGATGAGCATGTTTTTATATAGATTGAATGAAAGTTATGTTGAGTAGCATTTAGAGTGTGATGAAATGTATTTTTGACGCCAAATCTCATTGGCTAATCCCAAACATGCAGCATGATTGGCTACTGTCTTTCCTGCGCCACATATTTTTGACTAAGTCTATTGTTTGGTCTTAGAATGTCAGAAAGGTAAAG